CAGCCGACATAATGTGTCGCCCATGAAGTCCGCCCTTGGCATGCCAGGTATTGTGGCAGCCAGTGTTGGAGGACTGTCACCGGTTGAACGACCGGTATCAAACGACCGCCGAACCACAGAAGGCGGAAACGAGGAGGAAAACCGAGCCACCTGAATTTCCCTGTCTCAACCAGACCTCCTCCTCTAACGATAGCCTTACTCTGTTTGGCATGTCACCATTGCATCAACAATTGCTCACCTTCCTTGGAAAATAGGGGGTACTGTTTGCCCGAGCGTGTTTTCACTTTTTTCCCCATTCATCATGTTACGAATGACCGACCGATCGCCCGAAATGTACTATTGCTTCTTTTTTCCTTGGACCGATCGAGATAGGACAAATACCAAAAGGCTTCTTCATGTACGATACTCAAGACCGATAGACCGAATTAGTGCGCCGCAAGACCGAACGTTCGACCGTAAAAGTAATCAAATCAATAAAATAATACCACTAGATGTTCTTTTCCCACTGTGCGCGTGTTCGGAAGAAAGCTTCTGCGCTGGTGCTGTCGGACCAGGTTCCCTGGCCGCGTGGTACCAGGAGTTGATTTGTTCATGTACTAATCTCTAGGCTGACAACTGATCAGAGAAGCAATATTGAGGAGTAGGATCAAGAGAGGTAACTTCATTCATGTTGGCATTGACATGGTCTTTTATGGGCAGGTTCATGGTTCGGCGAGGTCATCACGCAGCAATATCCGCCAGCAAGCTTATGTTAAAAAAAAGAGAAAAAACAATGGGCGGCCACCGGAAATATGTAGAGCCACCTAAACAAACTCGAACCATCGAGCTCTGCCGAAACCAGGCATACAATCCACCGCTAGGCTATCTTGCGACGGTGGTCGCACCCATTGTTGAGGAAGGTGGGAAGGTGAGTTGGCTATGAGGGAAGGAAGGAGCACTTCAGCGTTTTGGCCCGGCTAACACTCCACCTCCAGGCTCCCAGCCCTCTGTCCCTCCGATTGTCGAGATTCTGGACGAATCGGAGTTTTGTCTCGTGGTATTTCGATACTCAGATAGTGACGGATATTGCCATCGTCCACAGGACTGTGTTTTCCTCAGAGTTGCCATCTATAAATGAGAAGGGGTGCTCAGAAATATCCACAGAAGGGGCACAATGGCGCGAGCGCGTTGGGCGATTTCTTTGCAGTCAGGGGGCATACAGTCTTTCTAAACGTAAACCCTCCGAGCTTCGTGAATTCTGCCCTAGTGTGTTGTATACGAAGCGAATGACTCTAGCTATTGAACTGTCAAGAATACTAGACAAGCATCACAGACGGAAGACGACGAAGGATGCCGCAAGCTTTCCAAAGTGTTGAGGTGATGGCGCTGGTTCAATCGCAATCGCAAGACGACATGGACTGCTGTCGCAGCTAATGCAATACATTCAAGGCCACTCAAATCTTGCAATTATGCTCCGCCTCAGAGGCGGATATTGCTTGGTTGCTTAAACTTTCGCTCGGGGCGATGCCAAACTCTTTAAATACTTCGGATACGTCGTCGCGACAACAGTCCACCGGAACATTGCACAGTTCTGTACAGAGTCGAGTCAATGTTCGAGCTGTTTCAAGCTCTCCAGGACAATTTGAGCGATTTTGGCGTCGACCTTCGATCAGCGCCCTTTATTTGAGCGCAATGCAAAAGGATGACCAAGACATCGGACACATATCACACCGCAGGGCTCACAAGAGAAATAGGGAGCCTTCGCTGAGGTGCCTTTTATTCTGCCACTTGTCATCACTCAGCACTTATTCATTGCTCATTCTTCAGTTCAAGGCGGTAGATACATTTATATATCTGTGAGGACTCATAATAAACTATAGCCTTCCGTCAAAATCTCAATCGTTTGTTATGTTGAATATGAAAATTTCTGGTAGAGAGAACCAACATTCGTTTCTATTCAGGGAAGCTTCTGGCTTCGGTTTCTTAGGCTTTTATGCCATGATTTATAATCGTGAAACGGTGCAGTAAATGTTGTTTGAGGAGAACAGCTCCCAGTATGCGTCTTCTGTGCTAGACGTCATGGCGATAGCCGATCGTGAGACCTAATAATGAATACTTCCGCTCGTTTAGGCAGCCTAATACGACAAGAGATACGCTCAAAATAAGGGTGACAGAAGTCGACAAGCTGGCTACGGCAAAGTAGAACCAAAAAACGGCGCGTTGACAGATCTATTAGAAGATCTTGGCGCATTGGTCAACATGCTCCTACGGAGGCTTATAACAAACACTTGCAGAAGGTTCATCTCGTTGCCTAATATGTCGCATTGCCAGAAGAGACCTCTTTTATATGTGATTCTCACAATTCCTCACCACATGGACGTTGATCGTGAATTGCCGTTCGCTAACCACACCACTTCACACCACTTCACACCACTTAAATATGTTCCTGAGGTTCTAAGAGTGATCTGACAGAATGCTTCCTAATCCTCGGCTGGGAGCTGCGTTAGGAAACTAAACTGTGTGATAACCTCGAGCAAACACAGACAGGTTGATGATGCATAGAAACCCCCGAGCAGACGGCTGCGCATACAAACATGCGTTATTCCCAGTCATTCCTCTTTGCTTATGTGTACACGTACTGACTATAATACTATAAAAGCTGATGCTCTGATGGACTGGTGACGTGCGGATTTGTCGAGGAAGCACTATGCCTTCGGTGTTGGATATTCAGGCGGGCAAGACATGAATGCATCAATGAACCCGATGGTCTCGTTGAGTGCTTCTAGGTCCTGCTTGATTTGCCTTTGGTTTTTGACTCGATGGTCCTGCGCTGTCAATAGGCCGTCGTACAGGGGGCAAAGCACCACAATTGAACTCCACTCAATATCTAGTATTTACAGTCACAGATGTCAGTGTGTCTTGGGGTCTTTGAGTGATTCTATTCACGCTCGAAGTTTAGCGGTCATCTTTCCTGAATGAGAAGGAAGCTCGGGTTAAGCGCGATGGGAACGAGCATGACCCCGCCACCGCCGTGCGATTTTCTAGATAGATTGGATAGTCTATGAGATGTTATCAGTGACTGGACTGTATGTGGTTGCAGTTCCTTGTTTCTCATGCCTGGCCCTGGTGATTTATTCATGAATACGACTGCGGGGTCTCAACTCACGACATCATGCTGTGAGCCCTCATCTTTCAGAAATAAACGGGCGTCGATGTACATTCATTTCGAATGGCAATATGCTCGAGCCATAGTTACCGACAGACACCAGAATGGGAAAATGTGGATTGCGGTCTGTGATCATAGGTAAAACCTTTCCTAATTAACTTATAGAGAACACGTCTTTTCAGTGAGTGCATCAGCAGCGATTCCTTCTGTTACCATGAGGACTAAACCGTGGAAAGATTATGGGAATAACTCGTAAATTAGCTGTAGTCACTGGGATAAGGGTATATCAGCAATGGCAAACTCGAACAGAGCTTGATCTCCAACGATTCCACCAGAAGACGACAATTTTTCTGCCTTCGTAGCCTCCATCTCGTCCGTCAACTGTCCTTATGACTATCACTGCAGACATGATATAACAGTCACCGTCACCGGAGAGGTAGAATGGGTCAACACTGAAGTCTGATGATACGTTGAGTTTACACCCCCGGAGGCGAGAGACAGGGAGGCGAAGGAGATCCCCAAGTTCAGTCTCCGACTCTCATCCGTAGCTGTGGGCCTACAACAACGGGGCATAATGAGTCGATAAGTGCCACGCTCACAGGAAATGTTGAGCACTGCGTACAACTGTGCTCGATTTGTCGCGTTGGGTCTTCATTTACTTGCAACTCATACCATCCTTTTATATGCGTAATTATCCATGTCATTGGTGCACCTGTCGGTCCAGTCGGCTGAGCGGTTTCCAGCTCCTCAATGCCGACATTCAAAAAGGCACGTAGTTGAGCGAAGTTCCCCCTGAGTGTCACTTCTATAAAACCGATCGGTGTCCTCTGGAACACCGCGGGAAACCCAATGAGAACCCAGCAATGTCCGCGGCACTTGGCATCCATGATGAGCACATGGTCATGACAGTACACGACGTCACGAGCAGCAAAACTTGCGGCACCGGTGCGTTCCGCTCGGTAGTGCCAGCCGTCGCTCTCCCCTATCTCTGGTCCTCTATTCCATTCACTGAATACTCGATGAATGCGACGTGCAGATCAACGTAAGTCAGTATGGTCCCTTGTCAGAACAGCTCCCGGATGCGTGGCCACAGAACTCTTGCCATCAATTTGCGCATTGGCGTCGAAGTCGATGAATTACTTAGTACCTGAAGGCTCTGTGAGATGAATCTATGTAGTCCACCACCGGGGGATTCGGGCATCTGTGGCCACGCTCGCCATCTATGATGTATATAATGGCAGTATGTCTGTCGCCTGAACTGAATCCGTCACCGCAATCGAGCTCTGGACTACCAGTGTTGCCCCTGCCGTGTATTCTCGACTTTAATCGCCGATGTACAAAACATCAAAGCCCAGACCCGTCTATCTCATGGCGTCACTTCGTACGCTCTTTCACTTCTCCCCACTTTCTTTCTGCTGTTATTCGTGTGAGATACTTGGTCGATTCTCACAGGTCTGGGCGACCTAAGCTGTTGGCATAGATGAGCATACCGATTGCAAGGCAGGCTAAAAAAAGGGGGCAGGCAGATGAGATGGCTGCTACGGGTACCGACATTGCCTGAAGAGCTAAGGGGAGAGGAGTAACCCTGGTGTTATATAGGCATGCGAGGATGGCAGGCGGGAGCAGAAGAATTTCACGGCGCGATGAGACAAGTGGGCTGGACGAAAGTAACGCAAGCGTAAGTTGAAGACCTGAAGGTAGTATGACGATCGAGAGGAAGGTCGTTGTAGACCCCTGACGATATAACTTCCGGCCCAATGTTCCGCAGGACGAACTCATCGTGTTTTCTTTCTTTCAACATTCTAACAGCAAGTAACCCGGGGTATCATAACTCATTAAACACATAATCCCACCCTCAAAAGTCCATCAGCAACTGCGGCGCAATCTTCTCTAGATCCTCGACCTAGCCCCAAACACATGTTAGCAATCAGAAGTCCTCTGTCCCTCTGTAAAACACATAGGTAACTCACCTCAAGGAACCCGCCCGGCCTCTCATGCACACACCGCGCAATGGCCTCCCTCACAAAGACATCCATGTACTTCCCCGCCGCCGCGTTCGCGTCCTTACTAAGTCGCGTGTCGTCCTTCTCAAAGAACTCGTGCAGCAGCCGCGTCAGCAGCTCCGGCGGGATCGTGTTCTCCGGGCCCTCCTGCTCTTCTTCCTCCTCCTCCTCCTCTTCCTGCTCCTCGTCTTCGACCGCCCGGGAAGCAGGGGCCGCGTCGCTGTCGGAGAGCTCGAACGGGCCCGTTGTCTTCTTGCGGGGCTGCGCGGGGGCAGCGGCTTTACGCTTAGTAGACGCGGCGGTCGTCGAGGCGGGCTGTGTTGACTTGGAAGGGCGACCGCGCTTGGCGGGTTGCGCTGGTGGTCTAGGCATGGTTGCGATCGAGGCAGAGTAGCAGACGCAGACTTCGTGAAGAGGAAGGTAGTCGTGTGTCGTGTGGTTTAGAGAGCGGGTGGCGTGTCGCGGCAAGGACGTGAGTGGGCTGAGAGAGAATGGCCTGCGGAGAAAAGAGAAGACTGTGTGCCAGCTCTTCGGGAAGGACCGACCCCAAAGTAAACAGAGGAATGGCAGGTGTCAGTCAAGGGTGCTGCAGCGTAAAGTAGGTCCGAGATCTGATCTGACTTGAGATCAGGCGATCTAGGCGGGGAGTAGCAGCATGTGGGGGAAGGCAAGGGAAGCTTGAGCCGAGACGCGACTTCTGGAGTGCAGGCGCGACGGCCGGGCGCCTGCCACTGGATTGGCCAATCACATGCGAGCGGCGTCAAAGCTTCCAATATTTGAGCCACATGGCAACAAGGACAGGAAGCAAGCGAGGTCACCACGAAAAATCTAGTGCACAACAAAATCGTAGACACAGGGCAGAGCACGTTTCAACCAAGGAAATCTTCCCATTCTACCACGAAGGGGTCTATCAAGCGTGTGTCATGCAATACCAAGGAAAATCCATCAGGATAGACCAGAAGACGGTCGAGTCCAGCGGAGACAGGGTTGCGTGAAGGCATGCAATCGAAAATTGCTTTAGTGTACAAATTACAGTGGATTAGGTAGCAAGCAAAGCTCTTCAGGTCATGGGTAAAGAGAACGCCTTGCCAGATGCCAGTCTAAACCACGTAGGACCAGCAGATCCAGACAGCCTTCCAGGTCTGTATCATAGTCCCTCCGCAACTTTCATCCCACCCCTTTTGTCAACCATTTCCTCATCTAATCCCAGCCACAGCCACGAATCCCCACAGCCCGGGTGTTCGCCAACTGCCAACCCGCCACCAGATGAAGTGTTTATACACGGAGAGGTGTCATGGCATTTAGCCAGAGCCACCCTTGAAGGCCTTGCCGAAGAGCAGGACCTGGAGCTGGTCGTAGATGGACAGGACACCAGCACCGGCGACACCACGGAGAATGTTGGCACCAGCACCCTTGAAGAGAGACTTAACACCCTCCTTGGCGACGATCTGCTTGCCGGCGTCGAAAGTGCCCTTGTACTTGACGGCCTCACCAGAGGTCATCATCATGCGACGACGGATGGTGTCAAGAGGGTAAGAGGCGATACCGGCACCGGTGGTGACGAGCCATCCGAGAGCGAAAGAGGCGAGGAAGTTGTTCTGGAGGGAGCCGACGAGGAGGACGGGCTTGATGGAGTCGTACATGCCGAAGTACAGACCACGGTAGACGACGATACCGGCGACGGAGGGCATGAAGCCACGGTAGAGACCGGCAATACCGTCGGAGGCGAGGGTCTTGCGGTAGACGTCAATGAGACCGTTGAACTGGCGCTCACCACCCTTCTTGGCGTTCTTGTTGTCGTTGGCCAGACGGGTACGGGCGTAGTCCAGGGAGTAGACGAAGAGGAGGGAAGTGGCACCAGCGGCACCACCGGAGGCCAGGTTACCAGCCATCCACTTGGCGTAGCCGTCCTTCTCCTTCTTGTAGCCGAACATCTTCTTGAACTTGTCACGGAAGGCAAAGTTCAGGGCCTGGGTAGGGAAGTAACGGATGACGTTGGCAGTGTTACCACGCCACAGGGACATGACACCCTCGTCGGCAGCGGTACGCTTGAAGCAGTCGGCGATACCCTCGTACTTGCGGTCCAGACGGCCCTGCTTAAGCATCTCATCCTGTGAGGTTGTTAGCGGCTGTCGCTGCTGATGGATTGTGGTTGAATGTGACAGGGGCCAGGGTCACGTGTCAAGCGAATTGACATTTTACCGGGGGTACCCGGGTGGACCTGGCTGGCCAACTGTCAACATCGCAGAAAAGTTCTCACTAACCTGGTTCTGGATGAGGAGCTTAATACGCTCGATGGGGGCAGCAGCAGTCTTGGAGACGGCGGCAGAGACACCTCCCACTGTTGCAATTGTTAGTTCGTGTTCAGGAATGAGGCTGTGTATATCGCGCCTTCCCGACCCAGCTCGCCGAAACCGGGGAGCTGAGGGGAGCAAGACGTCGATGTCGAGATCAATTGAACGTACTGAGGAAGTCGGCCATGAAGGGCTAGAGGATGAAACGTTAGCATGCTATTGTCCTTTGATGTGATTGTATCCCATTGCTTGACACCGAAAAGAATTGTCGTTGTTGGCATCGAGTCGACTCAACCACCGCCGATAAGCTTGTGATAAGCCATTGTCGCATCGAAACAGGTCGACGTTCGCAAGACCTTGCCCTTGCAGTTGAGGGCATTGTTGATATCGATGGCGGGAGATGGCAGGTCGCTGGTGGGTGCAGGCGGCGTCGACGACAGCGAGGCAATTCTTTTTTTTTTCGCGCAGCCGGGAGAAGGAGGGGAAGCGAGGGTGAAGCTTACCGGCATGCCCAGAACGCGGACTTCTTCCTTAGACATCTTGGCTGTGGTATCTTCTCAAAAGATCAACCTTGGAGAAAAGAATGAGCGGAGATGGACGGAGGAAGGAGAAGGATGTGAGGGAAAAGTGCGAGTCGAGAGAATTTAAGTGCTCCGACTGTAGCAGGTTTGAGGGAGGGAAAAAAAATTCCTGCAGGGTGGCCGAAGAAGGAACAGCTTTTGAGCGAATCTTCCCGGGCGCGCTAAAAAAGGAGCAAGGGCCACCACAGACAGGCTCAGGGTGGGAGAGCGAAGGTGGGCGCCGTCTCCACACTCACAGTCCGCCGTGTCCTCTCGGGGCTCCAGAGTCTGGAAGGGGCCCCACCCGCCCCCCTTCCACCTCCCCCCAAATTCACACACTGGAGTGCTCACTCGCTGGGAAGGTGCAGGTCGACGAAGTTTTCTGGCCGGGCAACAGCACTCTGGCGGCCCAGTCCAGGTGCCTTCTTGCTGCCTGAGGCTGTAACGCTAGTCTGCCATGGAATTGAGATACCGGTTCACCCCGAGATTTGCACGGGGACTCCGCTGCAACGAGAGCGCACCATAGCCGTAGCCGCGAGCCTCCAGCTGTCTCTCCAGGCCTTCGAAGGACGCTGGGAAGCGCCTTCCAGCGAGTTGCCACAGTGTTTCCAATCGATGCCGTGTCTCTGGATGGCATCAGAGGGCCTGTTTTCGGCTAACGGGACGGTGCAAGAGAGGCCCAAGGTGCCAAACAAATACAGCAGCACGGATTGGACAGCCAGCCCTTGGGTAATGAGAATCCATTCCATGACCATTGTTCGGACAGCAATTGGGTTGCGTCGTCGCTGTTCCATCGTCATAGGCATTGTTGCTGTGGCACATCACATATATAGGATATATATCAAAGAAAAACTTTCGTGATGTTTTTGTTCAAGCCGTGCCAAAATATTGACTGCCACGAAAACCCGCAACTTGCCCCGGATATGCTGCAGAAACAGACAACGCAACGTGCAGAGCAGCAGATATCAAAAAACCCCTCTTCGATGGACTCCCGTCGCTTCCATCATCCCGAACTCTGCTCCCATGTCCCGATGCCAAGCAGCCTGGCTAGCAGACGGGGCAGCCTCCAGTGTCTGGGGTCCTGTCAGCCCGCAAAAACGCACGGCGTCCAATCCTTTGAGCCGCCGCCGCTATTTCGCAATCCGCCATTGACCTGCATCCAGACAGCCGAGCTTAAAAAAAGAAAGAGAGAAAAACACAGGCTTCAGGGGTCGCTGTTCAGTGTCCGTAGTACGTATTGCGTATGTAACACGGAGACACTGCCTGCGTATCCATATTCTTTCCCTTCCAGGGACTGCAGCCGAGTCAAGCCCCTCGGATCTATTCAGCGAAAATGGCAGGTCTCCCAGTGCGCATCTCGGTCCATTGCGTGGACTGTGGACAGACAGCCCAACTCACATGCTGGTGAATCGGGCTCAATTGCGGATACCGATACAGTGGGTGATTGCCGGCCGACCTGGTGAGCATACTGCTCTTGGGCAAACGTCGAATTTCAGACAGTGAAGACGGGTATCTGGCCATGCTGGCTTCGTTTGGTGTAGCAAATATGTACTCACAAAACAACTGTCTGGAAATAATGCGGCAGATCTATGGGGCAAATCTGTGTCGGCCAATATAAAATTTGCCATCTTTTGACAAGGAGGGATTGTTTTTTTTTTCTCTCGCCTCTCGGATGCGGCTATGGAACATGCATCCTGTGCCGCACCTCAGTCGGAGCAGCATGCAGCGAGCACCCATTGACTTTTGCTGGCAGGACATTTTGGAACGGGCACGGTTCCGTGGCCATCACTCCGTTGTTTACACATGTCCATCTCCGGACCACGACGTCACGGCCTCCTTACTCGTACACGGCAGCATCCTGATACCGGCGTCGGCGAGAATGGTCTGGGCAGGCTCGCCAGCTGTATCACCTTGGCCGAGGCCTTGTTTGACGCGACGTCGGGATGCCTTACGTGTCCGTACTGATGCTCCGTCAATATTGAATCGGTGCCCGGGACGTGCTTCTTGTCGTCCGGCCAAAGCCAAATTTTTACCGGGTGAGGCTGCGATGCCGAAAGGGTTCGGGACCCTCCAGCCAGTGAAGCGGGAAGCCGGGATACCGGGACGAGGAGGGTTTGATACGGCCCATTCCTTGGCATTGCCATTGGCCGGCTTCGCCAGCTGTTCTTTCGAGTGGACTCTGGACTGGAGACTGCAACTGCCACCTCAGCTTCTCCTTTTCAAACATGGGGACCCGTGAGAAACTACTGATCGGTCTGACTAAGGTGCGGTAAGGCTTCTTTGATGGCAGGGGTGAGGCACTAAGCAGTCGGGTGAGGCACTGAGCGCGCTGGGCTTGCTGCTCACCTCGCTCCGTTCTCTGGCTAGGTAAGGTAAGAGAAGCGCCGGCGGGCCGCAAACAGCGTGGCTTCCAATTTCGCAGCGTAGGTAGGTTACCCGCGGCACAGTGGGCGGTGATGACTGGTGGGTGAGGTGAGGTGGTCCTTGCTGTTTTCCGCGCAGGCACCTTGTCGGTGTC